TGGGGGTGTGCACGCCGTCCCCTGTGATGGGCAGCTGGCTCCAGCGAGGAAAGGCTGAGCGTGTGCCCATGTGCATTTGCGCATGTGTGTGGGGAGGGGTGAGTGATGCTGCGAGGAGACACAGACCATACACACCTGCTTGTCTTAGATTCTCTGTCTACTTCAGAGTAGTGGAACTGACTCAACTTCCTCATCACCGAACCCCAACGTGGATGCCCTCCTGCCCTACATTCAATGGGATCCTGAATCTCCCTCGATTTTTCCTCTTCCTGCTGTTCTAATCACTCTTCGCTTTCTGTCTGGCCTCACTCGCTCCATTAGATATGAAGATGGGATCAGGCCCCTCCCCTGCTTGAAAATCTCTCCAACCTTCTGCTTGATGTCCCAACAGGGGTCCCCAACCTTGGCTGTCATTAGAATATGAGGGATCCGGACCAGCTGGACTAGTTGGGGCCTAGGCAATTGGGATGCTCTGTTGGGTTGGCCGCTCCTGGCTCATAGGACCAACCCCTAAGATCTTAGCCTAGTATCTTAGTCTCCGTGCCACCTCCCCTTTGGGCCCCAGGAAGTGTCAGGCTTGGCTATACTCCTAGACATTCCCTTGACAGTGCAACACCCTCCCCCACTCTTCCCCTGATGAACTTCCACTCATCCTTTAAGATGCAAGCAAATGCCACCTCCTCCGTGAAGCCTTCCCTAACACCCCCAGGTCACTCACTTATTCACTCATTCATTCATTTGTTTATTGAGCAAACATTTATTGAGTTCTTGCAGGGGCCAGGTTTGAGCTGTGTCCTGTGTAGATGACTTAGCAGCCAATAAAACAGATGCAAAGAGTTCCTGGCTAGTGGGGAAGGTAGGAGTGGGGGTTTGGGGGGATGGACAGTGGGGGGAAATGCAAGTAGAGTCAGTGTAGGCTTCCTGAAGGAAGTGATATTTCAGAGTGATCTGAAGGGTGTGTAGGAGTTAGTTGCAAGGAGTGAGGGTAGGGGGAAGGGAAAGGCCTTTGGTATAGTGAGAGTATGAAATCTGAGATGCAAACAGGCCAGATAAGCCCAGCCGGTGTGGTTCAGTAGTTGAGCGTCGGACCATGCACCAAGAGGTTGAAGGTTCGATTTCAGGTCGTGGCACATACCCAGTTTGCAGCTCGATCCCCAGCAGGGAGCGTGTAGGAGGCAGCTTATCGATGTTGATGTTTCTCTCTCATTGATGTTTCTCTCCTTCTCCCTTCCCCTCGCTCTAAAAAAATCAACAAAAACATATATATATATTTTTAAAAAACAGAGGCCAGATTCCATCCTGTTTCACAGCAGTAGGTGGTGGTATGTCTCCCAGTGAAAGAGGGCTCAGTAGGTATTTGTTGGTGAAATAAAAGGCCTTACCCTCAAGGGTCCAGGTCTCCCAGTTTAGAGGGCTGGTGGTGGGGAGGTGGAGAACAGGATACAATCCCAGGATTACAAAGACATGGAGAGTTGGTGAGGTGGGTCCTTACACTTTAAAGATATAGAATATGCAGACAATTTAGGGCCCTGCATGAGGGAGGAATTAGTATCCTCATCTCAGATGTAGAACTGGAGGCATGGAGCAGCTGATGACTATGCCATGGTCACGCACCTGGCAAGTGGGAGAGCTGGGATTCGAACCCACAGCGTGGCTCTGGAGTCTATGCTTTAATCACCGTGTCATGCAGCTGTGGCCTGACCTGTCTCTCACCAGAGCTGGTGATTCCTCCTGCACCTCCTTTAAGCAGCCCTGCCCCTGGCTCAGGGCCGGCTCCTGGGGGTGATTGGAGGCTGTGGGGCCTCAGGGCAGCCTGGCTCACTGACTGGTGTCTGTGTCACAAGCCGCTGCCCGGGGTTTGAATTTTCAACAATAACATTCAAGAGGGAAAAAGCATTTCCGAAAAAAGAGCTCAGATCCCTTGGAGAGATTAATAACGTGGCCTGCTGGGGCTGTTGCATCCCTGCGTTGGGAACGGCAGGCGGTACAGGAGGCAGTTAGCAGCCCTTTTCTGAGAGCCAGTGTGGTGGATCCATTGTTGCTGGCTGGGCTCCCAAAAGCTGCAGGTTGGCCGAGCGCTGGCTGGGCGGGGAGCAATATTCTACAGAGCTAAATCACAGAGAGTAAAATGAGAAACCTAAATATTCACCTCGATGATTTTTTTGAAAAACAAACTTTATTTTGGAGTAATTTCAAGTTTACAAAAGTATTACAAAGAACAGAGTTCCCATGCACCCCACACCCCGTTTCCCCTCCGTTAATACCTTACATTGCCCTAATACACTTACCCAAACCAAGAAACCAACGCTGGGACGTCACTGTTAACAAAACTCCGGGCTTCCTGTGGATTTCAGCGGCGTCTTCAGGAATGTCCTCTTCCTGTCCCAGGTCCCATGTAGGACACCGCATTGCACCTAGTCGCCACGTCCCCTCAGTCCCGTCTGGTCTGGGACAGTTTCCTTGATTTTCGTGACCTTGACAGTGTTGAGCAGGTATTTTATAGACGTTTCCTCAGTTGGGGTTTCTCTGAGGTGTTGCTCATGATTGGACTGGAGTTATAGATTTAGGGGAAGTGCCCTTCTTGCCACTTCATATCAAGGGCCCACTATCCGTATGTGACTTATCGCTGGTAATCAATGACGTTTTTACAGACATAGCTATAGGACACTTTAGCTTTCCATAAAGTTCCCTCGCGCCCTTTTCCAGCCAATTTCTGCCTCCCACTTCAAGGTGACCGCCACAGAACTATCCATCACTATGAATTAAATTAATTATGCCTCTACTTGAACTTCGTGTTAGAGAATCATCAGGATGTTCTCTTATTTTGTCCCCCTTCCATTTATTTTACTTTATTTTAGTATGTTTTTTCCCATCTCCATTGATCCCCCATATACCCTCTTGACGGCCTTTCCAACAGTGTACCAGAGTCCCCTTTTTCCAGACACTTGCCAACTCTTGTTACCTTGTTATCTTTGATAACAGCCATCCTAACAGGTATGAGGTAATATCTTATTGTGCTTTTTTATTATTGATTTCACAGAGAGAGAGCTACAGAGAAAGAGAGAAACATCGATCTGTGGCCTCCTGCATGCTCCCCAATCAGGTATCAAATCTGAAACCTGGGTATGTGCTCTGACCGGGAATCGAATCCTCCATCTTTTGGTGCATGCGATGACACTCCAACCAATTGAGCCATGCTGGTTAGGGCCATTGTGGTTTTGATTTGCATTTCCCTCCTGATTGGTGATATGTTGAGCACCTTCTTGTATACCTGTTGGCTATTTTATGTCTTCTTTTGAAAAATGTCTATTTAGATTCTCTGCCTATTAAATTTTTTCCCTTGGTTATTGAGTTGTAGGAGTTCCTTATATATTTAGGATGTTAACCCCTTATCAGATATATGGTATGTAATTGCTTCCTTCCCTCCCATAGGTTCCCTTTTCACTCTGTTGATTCCTTTGCTGTGCAAAAGCAGTCTAGTGTGATATTTTTGTTTTTGTTGCTTGTGGTTTTGGTGTCATAGAAAAAAAAAAAATGTTGACCAATGTCAAGGATCTTTCTCCTTATGTTTTCTTCTAGGAGTTTTATGATTTCCGGTCTCATGCTTAAGTCTTTACTCCATTTTGAGTCGATTTTTGTGCATGGTGTAAGGTAGGTTTCTTTCATTCTTTAGACCTGGCTTCCTGGGGTTCTTTTAACATATTTAAAAGAGCTGATTTAAAGGCTTTGTCTAGTAAGTCTAACATCTGCGCTTCCTCAGGGCCACTTTTATCGACGGCTTTCCTCCTATCCATGGGCCGTACTTTCTTTTTTCTTTGCATGTCACTTAATATTTTTGATGAAAGTTGGGCATTCTAAAGAACACAATGTGACAACTCTGCAAATCAGATGCTCCCTGTCATCCTAGGGTTTGCTGGTTTTGCTTTTGGCACTTTTTGGTTGTTTAGTGACTTTCCTGGACTAATCCTGTAAAGTCTGTATTTTTTGTTAAAGTCTGGATTTGTGGCCACCGAAGTCTCTTCTCCGCTTTGTGGTCAGTTATTAATTGGATAGATATTTCCTGGAACCAGTAAGTCTCCCAGTGTTTGCAAAGGGGTTCTTTCTGTGTGCATGTCGGGCATGCTTTCTATACTCAGTCTAGGAGTCTACATGGCTAGTTTAGCCTTCACTTCCTGCCTGCAGGGGGCCTCAAGGAGAGCCTCGAGGGCCTTCTCATGTCTTTCCTGATCATGCACACAGCCCTGGGCGTGGTGTGGCCTTTTCACAACCCTAAGTGGAATTTCATTCTCCAGCTTTTCCTTTTAAGTTTTTTTGGTTAACTTTTAGTTTGCCCAAATTGTTATGGCTCCCTCAGGCAGCCACAATGTTAAATAATTGCTACTTATTGTTTTTGACAAAAGCCCTCTGGGAGGGAAAAGTCTGTTCACACTGGGCCAGCTCTGAGGCAGGTCAAATAAAGACAAACCTAATGAGTAAGGTTTTCCAGGGGACTGCCGGACAGAGCAAAAGACAGGATTCTTTGCGAATGGGGATTTAGGAAGCTCCAACCCTGTTCTGACTCCTGTGGCTGCTGGCTGCTAGTTTTCCCTGTGATTATGGGCTGTGAGTTGTCAAGGCTATTGTGGGCTGGAGAGCAGGAAGATGAAAATAGGGCAGGTGAAAACGCCACACAGCTCACTGTTCTTATCAAGTTTTATAGTTTTTCTTAAAAAAAAAGAAAAAAGAAAAAAAAATCTCCCTTCCCCAAATTGCTGCAAACTTTTCGTTAATTTAGTGCTCTGAAGTAGTTGATTCTGGCAATTTAGCCAGTGTTCTCATTGCTTTTACTGGGGAAAGGGTTTTTGGAGAGTCTTACTCTGCCATTTTTTGACGATCTCTGTCCTTCGTAGACAAGCTTAGTCATTTTCTTCTTTGTGATACTGTCGTGAACAAGGGAGCATTCCTGAAAAGAGTCACTCACACATATTTGTTTCTTTTCACAATGCCAGGTTTATTAGGGAGATTTGAAGATGCTGGCATTGAAGGTTGGAGTGATGTGCCCACAAGCCAAGGAATGCCACCAGCCACCAGAGCTGGAAGAGGCAAAGAATAGATTCTGGCCTCTAAGGGAGCACAGCACGGCCCACACCTTGATTTTGGCCCAGGGAGGCTGAGAGACCGATTACAGACTTCTGGCCTCCAGAACTGTAAGATAATTACTTTCTGTTTTTTAAGTCACCTAACTTGTTTGGTTGCTTAAAATGTTTCGTCATTTTTGTGGTTTGAACAATGCCCTCATTTTGCCTAAATTCACGGACTGTGGATTGAATTGTGTGTCCCACCTCCAAGTTCATGTGTTAATGCCCTCACCCCCAGTGCCTCAGAATATGACCTTCTTTGGAAATGGCGTAATTGCAGATGTAATTAGTTAAGACGAGGCCAGTAGAGTGGGCCCCTAATCCAATATGACTGATGTCCTCGTGAAAGGGGAAATTTGGATACAGAGATGCACATAGAGGAAGGACACCATGTGAACATTGGACTTCAGCTGACACAATCCAAGGATATTCAGAAACTAGGAGAGAAGCCTGGAACACATCTTCCCTTTCACCTTCAGAGGGAGCAGACACCTTGATCACTGACTCCAGGGCTGTGAGACAGGAACTGCTGTTGAATCCACTCAGCTTGAGGTACGTTGTAGAGCATTCCCGGCAAACTCACACAGTTCAGGTACGACTACAGAGTGGTCTTGCTCACCCTCGGTCACGGAGTGACCTTGTCTGATGTGGGTGTTCTGTGAAACTGCTGATGTTCTCATCCAGCTGGGAGGGCCAGGCCGGCTCTCGCCGATGTCTCGCCGAAAAAGGGCTGCTTTCCTTTTTCTTACCACAAAGCCTTTGCTCATCTGAAAAATGTTCACTTTATGTTGTCTTTAAGGCTTTTCACTCATTCTTTAAAAAACACACACACAGCTCAGGGTGACGCAGTGGTGAGCACTGACCTATGAGCCAGGAGGTCAGGGTTCGATTCCTGGTCAGGCACATGCCCAGGTTGCAGGCTCACTCCCCAGTAGGGGGCGTGCAGGAGGCAGCCAGTCAATGATTCTTTCTCATCATTGATGCTTCTATCTCTCTTTCCCTCTCCTTTCCTCTCTGAAATCAATAAAAATATATTAAAAAAACAAAACAAAACAAAAACACACATTTTAATTTTCAACCCAGTTGTCATTTATTTTGGCTGGGGGACGGGGCCTGAGGTGTAGGGCCTCAAGTAGGGGCCATGAGAGTAGAGATGAATAAAGGGACCTGAGGGCTGAACATGCTGAGGTCCACAGGGCTAGCTTAGATTCACCCCCTCCAGCGGTTTGTACATAGACATAACCTCACAACAGTCGTTCAGAGCATGTAGGGAGTTGTTTCTTTCTCTCTCCTTGTTATTCTTGGTCGAAGGAGAGGCGCCCGCACCTTTAGTTAGAATATGTCATGGCTGTGAGTGCCTTCTCACGACAGCCGTTAATTCGGAGGCGAGGCTCATCAGCAGAAAGCCCTCCCAGAGCCTCACGTGCCCGGGGCCTCTCCTCTGTCTATTTGGATAAGTGCAGCTAGGGATCAATTATGGATGAGGCTCTATGGGAGATGAGTAAGTGGGCTGTTGTCTACTTTGAAAAATTAATGGGATCTGATTAACACAGGAGCGTATTCCCTCTTCCTCAACTCAGAGAAACTCAGATCTCTGCAGAAGCTCAGGGTGGAGGGCAGCACCCCCGCATCTGTGTGGGATCAGATTTGATTCATAGAATCATGCTTTGGGATTATCTAGCCCCTTGAGAGATGAGGATACTGAGGTTAAGCAATTTGGCCAAACAGTAAAGAAGAAAAGACAATTGCCAATTATTATTTTTTAAATAAAAAATTTTAATACAGAAATTTTAAAACATATAAAATAGACAGAATAATATTATGTAGCTGTTCGCAAAATTTTTGGTCTCAGTAATGTTTTACTCTTAAAAAAATTTTGAGGACCTCCAAGAGCTTTTGTTTATGTGGGTTACATCTATTGATATTTACTTACTTTATTAGACATAAAAACTCAGAGATTTAAAAATATTTATTAACTCGTTTCAAAATAACAATAATCTCATTACATGTCAACACAAATAACTTCTTCTTTTCTTTTTTTGGTTTGAGAGAGAGAGGGAGAGAAACATCGATGTGAGAGACCTATTGATTGATTGGCTGGGGATGGAAGCCGCCACCTGATCAGGAATTGAACCTGCCACCCTTTGGTGCACAGGACAATGCTGCAACCAACCACCTGAGCCCCCCACCAGGGCTCTGCTCCTGCATTCAGTCTGTTGTGCTCGCACATGCTGTGCGGCCCCTGGAAAACCCATGGAACCCTCATGCGAGGAGGAGGAGGAGGAGGAGGGGGGGGGGGGGAAATGACACCGTATTATTATCAGGAAAATCGTTTTCACTTTGCAGACCTCGGCTTTGCTGAATAGGGTCAATCTTGTTTCGTCTCTTCTTCCTCTCATGCCTCCCTTCATCACTGGAACCAAAGCTGTAACCATGGATTATTCTGAGCATTATGGGGGGTGCTTTCCTGCATGGTTTTCTTTCTCCCCAGGACAAATCTGCTTTATTAGCATGTACGAGTATTTGGTTGTTCATCTGAGGGTACCAGGCCTCAGGGAAATTTCCCCAAGTTCATGCCTCAGGGAGCTGATGTCACCCAGATGGTGCCCAAGTCAGATGCACAGTCTCCTAAATGTGACTTTGGACGATGAGAGCTGCTGGGGCTGCCGCCTGCCAGTTTCCTTTTCCCATTGGGACTCTGGGGGAGGCTAAGGTTTTCCTCCCTGCCTCCACCTCTCACATGTGGATGCTCCATCAGTAGGCCTTTGAGTAGCCCTCTGGGCCAGACAGAGAGCTGAGTTGGATGCTGCCATGAGAAGCAATTCTCGGTCATCTCTTTGTGCATGAGCTGAGGAAGCATTCACACCCCCCACTCAGAAGCCAGCCCTGGGAGAGGAGGGAAAACAGCTGAAGGACCCAGTCTGGTGGAGCTGGTTTGTTCTGCTCTAGTTTGATACGGGGATACCTCCATTCACTTCAGAATCATGGAGTCCAGAGAAAATAGGGCTCCAAGGTCATATAGTTCTGACCACCCTCCAGGACAGAAACCATCTCTGAAATGCCCTACCCAAAGGCTGCCTGCTTGTACACCTCCAATGACAGGGAACTCACTACCTGCCTCAGCAGATAGCCAATCCATGGACGGCACTCTCATTGTTAGAAAACTCTATTTACATTGACCGAGCTTTCAGGAACAATCTGGTTGATGCTGTGCGAGGAGGAACTCAGATTGGGAGTTGAGATTCTGGATATGGGATTAGGGTAGACATGGATAAGCTCCATCCCCTCCAAAGGTTTTGGTTTCTTTGTTGTGAAGAGATCTGATTTCTGGTTCCTTATACTGCTAACATTTGGATGTATTTTCTGATTTGGCTCCCTTTTCTCCCAGACCTTGAAGAATTTGTAGAAGCTAAGATCCTCTTCAAGGTTGGGCACATTCTCAGTTGCCCAGCTAGCCACTATCTCTGGTAATACCCTTGTCTGTCCTTGGCCTCTCCGTGGAGTCTGACCAGCACAGAGCTCCAGGGCCTCCCCAAGCAGTCCTGGGTTCCCCAGATCCTGCTGCAGCCCTGAACACCCAGAGCAGCTTCATCCACCTTCTGTGAAACATGCCCCCCAACCACACCAGCTGTTCTCTGACTTTATAGACTTAGTAACTGTACAATCCAAGAGACTCTCCATGCCTTTGCCATATAGCCCATTGACTTTCCAACAGTGGGCCCTTCTGACAGGAAGGAGAGGCAAAAATAAATTAGAAGAACTTTCCAACCAGCTCAGTGGAGAGCTGGGCTCAGGCTGCCTCTTTGGTTTGTGGATGTGGCTAATCTAGCCCTGACCTGAGAGCCATTCCAGACTGGCAGGCTGGACTGCCCATCTCCATGGCAACTGTTGTTATTGGTAACTGAATAAGCATCTCTGACAATAGCTGCTGGAGCTGTTGGTTTTCCTTTCTAGTTGAAAGTGAGAGGAGCCAGGCTTGTTGCTGAATGATCCTAAGTTCTGGGATCTTCAATTGATATCGGGTAAGGTGAAGGCATCCTTCTAGTTCTCTTCTAGCTTCTGTGGCCCAAGGAAAGGAACAAAGTGACTTAACTTGTCTTTTCCGGCTTCCTTTGGAGAGGCTGAGAAACCCATTCAAGGGTACCCAAGTAGCAAGATCCAGAACTTTCCCTGACCTGCCTGGTTCTGTAACCCATGCTTGTGACTACATAGCTGTTGTGTGTCTGTCCTTTTTCTCTGAGACCATATGGAAACCTAGCAGCCCTTCCTTGTGACACCATCAGTCTGTCTAATTATTTGTGAGGACAGGTAGCATCTTATGGGCCACCATGAGGGCTCTTCTAGAAGCTGTCTTACTTCATTGTCCTGGAATAGGGTCAGTGGGACCTCAAGATGCCGTAGCCCTGGAATTATCAGGTAGGCAGGGCAACAAGCTCCCCCAGACCATTGCTCCACACTGCCTGCTCTCCCGATCACTCTCTCTCCATCCTGGTGGGTGACGTGCAGTGAGCGGGCCTGCCTCAGGGGTGAGATTCAGACCACTTTTATGGAGGACCATCAGGCATTGTAGCAAGTGTTATCCCTTCTCTCTGTGTGTATTCTTAGTTTCCAAAGCATTTCAGGCCGACTTGCATTTCAGGCTGATTTTCCTGGGTGAACTTTGGAATCATTTTGGTCAGGACTTAGAACTCGTCCTGCTGAGATTTTGAGTGACGTTGCCTAAGGCTCATAATTCCTGAAGGCCCTGCCACACGGACGTGAGAGAGAACCCAGAGTTTGGCATCCTGGCTGTTTTTGTTCAGATTCTAGTACCTCTTCTTAAGAAGGACCCTCATCGGTCTTGTCTTGTTGGCCTTCACAGAATTGACCGCTCCCTCCAACTTGAGTGTCCCGGGGCCCTTGGCTTCTGTGACCACCCCTCTCCCTGGTTTCCCTCTTGTGTCTCTGGCTGTTCCCTCATGTTTCCCTTTGCTCTTCCTCCTGTACTTGACCTCTACATGTTGGAGTGGTTCAGGGTGGGTCCTCGGTGACACCATCTACCATGCCCTGGCTTTAAGTCCCACTTATCTCCAGCTCACGCCTCTCTTCTGAGCTCTAGACCTGCATTGCTGATGGAAGACCACAGCTCTTCCTGGATGCCCCGAAGGCATCTCCAACTCAACTCATCCAAAACTAAACATAACTCTTCCCTACCAAAACTTGTCTCTCCTAAACCTCCCACCCATACTCTGCCTCATTCATCACAGGAAATGATGTTGCTCGCTCCTCACTCCTCAATAGTCTAGTCAGGAAGTGGGGGGTCATCCTGGACAATTCTCTCTCTAATCCCCCACAAGTAATCCATATCCAAGGCCTGTGGATCCTACATCCTTAGATGTCTCTAGAATCTGTCAACTTCTCTCTATCTCTACTGCCATTGCCATAATCTGTCCACTATTATGGCTTGCTTCCTTACCAGTCTGTTTGCCTCCATTCTGTTCCCTGACTATCTCTTCTCTACTCTATCTTAAAATACAAATCAGATCATGTTATTCCCTACTTAAATCCTTTCACGGCTTCCGCTGTTCTCATGATGAAGATCTGTGGTGGTTTTCAGACATGGCTGCAAACTAAATTCTCTCCCCTGAATCTAGGTGGTGACTGTTTCAACAAACAGCGTGGCAAAAATGATCTGTGTGACCTGAAAGGCCATGCAGCTTCTTTCTTGTTGGTGGAACACTAGCCTTGGAACCCTGAGTCACCATGTGAGAGAGGCCACCATGCTGGGAGGAAGCCCAAGCCATGGGGAGTCTACATGTTGGTGTTTTGGTTGACAGTCACAGCTGAGCTCAGCCTTTGAATTATTCCAGCCTAGGAGCCAGCTATAAAAGTGAAGAAGCCTCTAGATATTTTTTGACCCCCATATCCAATTTAGCCATTGAGTCACCTGCAGCCACTCATATCTTCCCAAGTGAGGCTCCAGACATTGAGGAACAGAGAATAGCCATTCATATTGTTCCTGTTTGAATTTCTGACCCACAGTAAGCATATAGTATGTATAATAAAATGGCAGTGGCTTAGGGTGATTTATTATGCAGCTGTAGATAATTGGTCCAAAACTCAGATCTTACAGATGGCCTCAACGCCTGCAGGTCTTGACCTCAAACTAATACTCAATGTATCATCTCATCTCAGGACCTGGAATGTTCTTTCATCCTTCTCCCTATCTCCTCAACTGGTCACCATGGACTCATCTTTCATTCTCAGCTCCAACATCACTTCTGCTGGAGACCCTTCCTGACCACCCAGACCAGGTCAGGCCCATCATGGGCTTCTATCACACACCCAGCTTCTCATGAATGTGACCCTAGTGACCTTTGAACCACTTGTCTTAATTCTTCCCCAACTGGACCGTGAGCTCCTGGCAGACTGCCTAGCACACAGTTGGCCCACGGTACATGTTAGATGAGTGAAATAATGGATAAAGTTACTATTATCACTGATATTGTTTGGTGAGCAGGAGAGCTTCTCCTATTGGTTGCAAATTACCTGGGGCTGTCCTGATTCACTTTCCCAGTGTGATCAGGGAGCAGACAGGAAGGAGAGGTCCTGGGATGTGTGGGTTTCAGCAGCGGTGGCGCCCAGAAAGGACGAGTCTCAGGGCAGAGCAGGGGTGGTTGGGCAGAGTGGACACTTCCATCTCAAATCAGCTGAGTGGAGGCAGAGCTCATCTCTGCCTTGATGGGGAATTTGGATGGGGTTCACTCACCCTTCCTGGGCCCCAAATTTATGCAGATGTTGGCTATGAGCCCAGTGGAAGCCTGCTCCAGCTCTGTGAGTCTGTGTATAAAGATAGTCTGGAGACCAGGCAGAGTGGCTTCTAGATGGTTCTGTAATCCAGGCAAAGCCAGCAGGAAGGGTTGCATTTTGTAATTTTTTTTAAAAAAATTAACAATTACATTCTCAATGTGCTTAATTCTTAATCCCCTTGGAAAGGATCTTTAGGCATTTAATTGACATATTTTATGAGACATATTGGCTAGTTAGACATCAATTGACATCCTTATTAAATATCAATTAACACATTCCCTAACTTGATATTTAATTAGCTTGCTGTAGCTATTCTTTTAAAAGTCAATTAAATGCTTGGAATATTCTTACACGTTGACTCCACTGATAGCAATTACATATGAATTCCTGTCACGAATGGTTTTTAGTTAATTGCAGGGCAAGCTGATTCTGAATCTACATACCAGGTTGTTGGATGAGAACTTTAAAATCAGTCATTAGATACCTAACGAACCCTCCTCTCACTCTGATTATGAACTAAAGGCCCATCTGGCTCTGGAAACTGCCACCTATTGTCTTTTCAAACAATTATAGAAACTCCAGGTCAAATAACTCTCTAGGTAGAGTCATACTTCAGTTTTTTAAAAATTGTGATAAAATACACAAAGCATAAAACTTACCACGTGCAGCTCAATAGTGCTAACTACATTCACACTGTTGTGCAATCATCACCACCATCCATCTCCAGAGCTCTTTTCATCTTGTAAAACTGAAACTCTGTACCTGTTAACAACAACTGCCCTCTCCTCCCCTTCCTCCCCCTCCCCTCCTCTCCCCTCCCCTCCTCTTCCTTCCACCGCCCCCCTCCTCCCCTGGCAACCACCCTTCTACTTTCTGTCTCCATGGCTTTGACTGCTCCAGGAACCTCGTGTAAGTGGAATCATACAGTATTTGTCTTCTGTGTCTGTCTGGCTTAGTTCACTTAGTATAATATTCTCAAGGTTCATCCATGTTGTATCATGTGTCAGAATTCCCTTCCTTTTTAAGTTGAATAATATTCTCTTGTATGTATAGACTATGTTTTAGTTATCCATTCACCTTTTGATGGACACTGGGTTGCTTTTGGCATTGTGAATAACACTGCTATACACATGGGAGTCCAAATATCTCTCTGAGAGCCCGTTTTCAATCCTTTTGGTTCTATACCTAGAAGTGGAACTGCTGGGTCCAATGGTAATTTTATGTTTCGTCTTCTGAGGATGTGTTTCATTTTTAAGTTTATTCATTCAACGCATTCGTTGAGCACCTGGGCTAGTGGATGTTCCTAAAATAGTGGAGCTCAGTCCAGTGGGGTTGCCAGCCCGGGGGTAATCCTAACACAGCGGGGCTCTGCTATAGTGGTGAGGATCCCAGCACAGATGGTGTGACCAGCATATTTCTAACTGTGGCAGGGAGAAGGTGCTGTAGAGATGCGAGGAGGGAGAAGCGGGGAGTCGGCTAGACGGGAGGTGCATGGAGGAGAGTGAACAGAGCAGGCCCGGGTCCCCTCCTCCCCGGCTCTCACTCCTACGATGGTGGATGCTCCCCCTGTGTTCTCGTTGTCCCCCTTTCTCCACCCAATACCTGTCCTTCCCCTCCCATTATCTCCTAAAATTACTGAGTCCTATTCCTTCCTGGAACTCTGCTACATTTTCTCACATAATCGGTCTGATAATGAGGAGTTGCTAGTGTTTTCTCCACTTTGCACATGAAGTTCTTGAGGCTCAAGAAGGCTAACACAGCTGCCTGGGGTCTCACATGGCTGAGGGCAGAGGAGTTCACACCTGCTTAAAGGCCATCCCTTCCTGGCTGCCCCCTATTCTTCTTCCTCACATTGCCTGACCTTCACCCTGTTCTCTCCACAAACCCTCCTGTCCAGGCCTCTGACAAAGGTTGAGGAAGGTGATCTAGGGCAAACCAAGGTTGATGGGTGCAGGGGATAGAAAGATATAACAAGCAGGAGAACCTCTGGTTCTTGGAGCCTCAGCGTTTTCACCTGTAAGATGGGGGCAGAGACACGCCTCTCGAATGCTTGCCCTGAGGATAGGTGAGATAAATACTGTGTCATCTACAGGTGCACGGAAAGCATTTGATAATTGCACAAAATATCCAAGACACAAGGCACCATCAGGTCATGAGGAGCAGCTTCTCCAGCCCCACCACAGGCCATTGTCATCCCATCGGTGCCCAAGCCTGGTGGGGATGGTGGCACGGTCACCTCCAGCGAGCCCTGCAGTCCAGGGCCCTTTTGCACCCGCAGCCTTAGACCTTAGGGAGGAAGACCCAGCATCAGGCCCCAGGACATACTAATCAAGAGGCCCAATAGCACTTGGAACTGAAAGCTATTAGCGATTACTATCTGCTGAACTTAATGCCTTTGTGCCTCAGTTTTACCACCTGTAAAGTGGGGATATGAACTGTGCCCATCTCATTGGTGGTCGTGAGGATGCAATGAGTAAACCATGTGCCTAACACATGTTGAGTGCTCAATAAAGTTTAGCTAATGTTCTCCTGGACACCTAACTCGCTGGCCCCAGGATCCAGTGATCCCTGCTCAGCACCAACAAGATGCCTTAATGTCTGGCTCTGAGTGGCCCACGGAGGGCCAGGCCCAGGCCCAGGCCCAGGCGGCAGTCTCTTCCAGCACCCTGGTGTGATAGACTTTGTCACCAGTTCTGTCTGTCTCACTGCGATTTATGAATAGAACTAGGAGACCCATTTGTAAGTGGAGAAACTGAGGCTCTGAGGGGCCGAGAAATTCTCGCTTGTTGGTAAGAGGTGGTCAGGACCAGAGCCCGGGTGGGCTGGTTGCTCATTCACGCACCTGCCACCATTCACCTGAGGCTTATTGAGAACCTGCTGTGTTCCAGGTACTGTCCAGGTGCCAGGGCCACAGTGAGAGAAACATGGACGTGACTTCTGCCATCCTTGGACTTCTACAAAAGCCTGCTGCCTCAGGAGTGAGGGAGCAGCCAGGCCTGCATATTTCTGGCCAAGCATGGATCACAGCATCAGCTGAGCTGTGGGTCAGCTGTGATGAGCTTGAAGGGTTACAAAGAAACAAGAGCCTGACACTCTTCTGGCTAGTGATCACTGCTTTATCGGCGTGAAGGGAGAAGCACAGATTGGGATGCCCCGAGCTTCAGTGATAGCGTTATAACCCCCAGAATACGGGAGACACGAGTCCCACCTGCTGCAGTTCTGGCCAGACCTCACAGTTCCGTCCTTCGGGTAAGTTGAGCACGGGTCGTTAGAACACATGTCATGGCCTACGGGGCATGACTGAGGGAGCTAGGGTGCCACATCAGGCAAAGAGGACTTGGCTGGGGCGTTATTGTTTTCAGCTTTCCAAAGGCGTCTTGTAGACCAGCGTGGAGTAACTTGGCTGGTCTTAAAGTACACCTGGACCAGTTAGTGAACCTTACAGGGTTCATATGAGAAAGAACGTTTGACCTACCAACGTTCTTAACAATGGGTGAGGCAGTTCCTATAGGCAGTGAGGTCTCTGTCGCCTGAAGTGTGTGAGCAGAAGCTAGAAGATCATTTGACCACTGGGCAGGGGAGTTGGACTAAGGAGTGCTCCAAGCTCCTAAGCAGTTCGTGTCTACAGTCTTTGCATGTACTGTTCTGTCCGTCTGGAAGATTGTTCACATGTGCCTTTTCATCCTCCAGGTCTCAGCTTTAATGTCACCTCCTCAGGAAGTCTCCCTTGATTACTCACTCAAGGTAAGTCTCTTTCTCTCCCGTCTTGCCATTCTCTGTTTCAGAGGCCTATTTGATTCCTTCGTAGCATTTCCACTGTCGGTAAACATTTAGTGTGTTTACTTGTTTAACGTATGAATCCTGGTGGAGACCAAAACGTCTTGTTATTATCTGTATCCCTAGGGCCTGGCACATAGTAGGTTGTCAATAAACATTTCTTGCATGAATATATGCATCATGGATAGATGTTCGTATGGATGGCTGGGTGAATAGATGGATGGAGGGTGGGTGGGTAAACTGATGGGTTACTTCCCAGGGTTTCAGATTCCAGCTTCGCCTCTCTGTGCTAGGACATCCATTTGTGTAAATTCTCTGCAGAGAGGTGAGCGGTGTGTGCGTTACATCTTCAGTTCCCGTGGACAAGAATTATGACTTGTCCTTGGAGATTCACTGCAGTGAACCGATTAGGAGCTAATTACAAGAGAAAATTTTTATGTTTTCAACCCCTGAATTAGCCACGTGAACTTTGATGAGGAGGAATATCAAGGACTGGGCACATTCATTAGTTCTCGTTTAACATGCCCTTTCAGCTTGTAGGCTGCTAATAAGCATGACTATCTTTCACGTCCAACTCTCTTCTAAAGGGACCCTCCTGCGTGTCCCAGAGTCACTGCCAGCGCTCATTGAAGTGTGTCCCAAAGACTTCCGGAAATAGGTTCACGCTGAGCTTTGTTAAAATGTAGATTCTGGGACCCACCCAGACCCAGTGAATGCGAACCTTAAAAGGGGGCTCAGGATGGGGAATTTCTGAAGTACCTGGCGATGATCAGGAATTCACCTCGATCCTAGAGGGTGTCAGAGCTTTGGCATCTGGGAGACCATCTAGTACACCCTCACAGGTACTAAAACTGAGGTTCAGAGAGGGACAGTGAGCTCTCTGAGGCCCCACAGCAAGTTCATGACAGAGCGCAGACTGGAACTTCCTCTTTCTGCCGCTAGAGTTACAGCCTCCTCTCGACAATGGGCCAGAGAGAAGGGGATTTGGGGTTAAAATAACCATAATGCTCTCAACCTTAAAATTATATTTAACAGTTACTCTCAATTTTCTACGAATAATGTCCATTAAATAATTAATGTTCCTTAAAATAGCTTGGGCTCCCTTATGCCTTTTTATTCTTGGAACATCAAACCCTTTCAGATCATAATTAATTAAGAAGCTTGATGGCCCCAAGAGGTAGGCAGAAGCTTGGTGATTGGTTCTGAATGCCGAGAGACACCATCTGCATTCCAGAATTTTCCCGATTTGAGGGCTGCTGAAGGAAGGAAGAGGGGGTGGGATTGGAGAGAGGTGATGTGGGTCGCCACACACCAAGTAACATTCACGGCTCTTTTCACCAATCCTGGCAAATTCTCTCCATTGTACACATGGAGGCCACGGAGACGCCGACCACAGGGCGGTCTCCTCAGCAGAGCGGCATTTGAGGGGGAGGGAGATCCGTGTCACAGACTCACGCGCCCACCGGTGGAGGTCAGGCTGGTGATTTACCCCACGCTGTCGTAAAACACTCTTGGCTTGTGGTTTGACTGGTCCTTGACCAACTTGGCTGAGGGGAGAGGAGCGTGTTCCTCCTGGGGTCAACCCTGGGGAGAGGAGGCGGGGTCTGCAGAGTTGGGGTCTGGGCTTGCAGAGACCCTTCCTCAAAGTGAAGGCTTCTTTGTAAGTCTGTTTCATTATCTTTATAAAGAACCTCCCCTCACATCCATTGAGGCCTTTACAGGCTGCAACGCACAGCCACCCCTAGCTGTTTGTGCATTTATTCATTCAACCAATGTTAACTGAGCACCTACTCTGGAACCAGGCATTGTTTCAGCCGCTGGGGAAACAGCAGTGAGCGGGACAAACTTGTGGGTGAGACAGGCAGCAAATCAGCAAGCACATTAATGAGTTACCATTGTGGCCCGTGCGATGAAGGTCCAGGGCACCCAGGGGTCAGGCGACCCCAGAAGGGCGGTCAGGCGGTCAAGGCCTCTCTGAGGGGTGGAGGTTTTAGGCTGAGAGCTAAGGACTCAAGGACGGGGCAGAGGCGTGAGGAAGGACAGGGAGGGGCCGGCTGTTGGCAGTTGGTGAGGAAGAGTGCGCTGGGCATGTGCCGCAGCTGAGAGGTGAGGGACAGCTCCATCCGTGTGTGGGACTAAGAGACTCACATTCCTCCACGTGTGGTGGGAAGTAGGAGGCCGGAGAGGGCAGGGCCCTCTGATCTGGGCCAGGCCAGCAGGATGGATGTGCACACGGGTGTGTTAGCCCTGGGTAAGGAAATGGGGGCCACTGGAGGGGTCAGAGCCGGGGTGACACAAACTGACTCACGCTGTACAAGGTCCCTCTGTCTCCAGGGTAGACTGGAGGTGAGAGGTGCCGGGGGCTTGGTCTGGGGATGGGGTGAGGTCAGACCCAGATATACTTGGAGGGGGAAGGGACACCACCAGAGCCATCTCTGGGTATTCGGAGACCCCTCCGGGCCAGGGAGGGGACTTTTCTCCCATTTGATAGGTGGTGTCACCTCCTCAGGAAGTCTCCCCAGTTCTCTCCAGCATGAATTGCCCTAAACAAGGCCTCTGTCCACCTGGGGCGTGGCTGAACCCGGGACCTTGTCCCTCAGGATGTGAGTGAATCCAGCTCAGGAGGGACCTCAGTCCTGCAGGTGCTGAGGGCTGACCGGCTGTGTGTAGAGCCAGCCCTCCGCTGGGCGGGACCAGGAGGCTCAGAGGGACGGGGGTCCAGTGGGCTCTGGAGGAGCCACAGTCCAGGGGGAGGGAGATGGGAGGCCCAGGCCTGACACAGTGAAATAACGGCTCAGCAGCAGTGAGGCCTGGACAAGCCCTGGCGGTGGGCAGCAGGAGGCCCTTCCGAGGGGGTGAGTAGCCAGACGGGAGAGAGGCCAGTGAGGGTAGAGGGTGGTGGCCCGTGGGCAGCAGTTGAGAGAGACCCTCTGGTTGAGGGTTTGGGGGAGGGAAATGTTTTAAGATTGAGGCTTGAACCCGGTCCCGGCTGGGAGGCAGGAGAGCTGGCTTGTTTGTGACCTCGGTTCTGCCCCGAGTAACCGCTGAATGGTGTGACCAGTCGCATCTCCTCTGTAGAGTTCTTCCCCCCACTGAGCCTCGAAGGGGTGCCCATCGGCATTCCCCACTCGTGGTAGAAATCATCGCTCCAACCCTCTGGGATGTATAATCTCTTTCACTTCTTTTATATGGTATATGGTAAAAAGTTGTTAATTATTTAGGCCAGCATGCTATTAAAGATTGCACTCATATTTAATACAATTGTTATATAGAAGAGATAATTTTTATCTTGCTCCTTTAAAAAGAGATACACACAATTTATTTTGAATTTATTACGTAATAAACGGCACAGTTTGCTGACAAATACATCCTTGGATGACGCATCATGTTGGATTTGGGGAACAAACGCATATTAAAATGTAGATGGACATTTAATCATGTGCTCATCATGGAAAAAGAGTAAAGCTGTGCTCATGGCCTGATGTTAGGGATTTTTGTATTTTGCGGCTAAAATGAAAGCCATTGGCTTATTAGTTAATTTTGAGGTTTTGTTTCAAAATGACTAAATAGGAAAAGGGCTTCAGGCTGGTGTTGGCAAGACCTAGTCCAGGAACACACTGTGAGCCCCGCCCCCGCCCCATGAGTGAAAAGTCAGATTGATAACACTCCTCCCTGAACTCCCTCTCTTTATAACTGGTTTCCGAGGAAGCATGTGCAGGTGCTTTGCCAGGACTCTGATGAGGCGACACCAGGAGTGTTCCCATGAGGCACAGCAAGTGAATTGGCATCGTTGCAGCGATGCTCATCAACTGGTATTTCAGATTCACCGTCCGCAGGCTCCTGCCTTGAGCCGATATTCTGTTGTGGATATAAACCCAACAGGGTATGAGAAAGAACGTGAACAACTCGAGCTGTCATGCAGCCCAAATCCTGCAAACAAACGTAAAATCACAGCAGCGACGCTCATCAGATGCCTACCGAAGCGCCTGCGATGTACTCAGTGCCCTGCTGGCTATGGCAACGGGGACGGTTGATGCCACGAAGTAAAGGAATGCGCTGTGGAGTGTGTGTAACATGGGATTTGGTCCAGAGAGTGAGGGCTCGGGGGCCAAACTTACGTGTGACCACGATTCACCTTTTTGTGCTTCAGTTTCGTCATTTGCAACCTGGAGATGATTAAGGTGCCTGTCTCATAGTTTTGTTGTGAAGTTTAAATGAATTAATACATGCAAAGTACTTAGGATGTTCTGAGCATATGGTACGAGCTCCAAATGTTACTTTTTAAAAATCATCATCATCATCATTTTATGATCATCATCATCATCATCATATTGCTATATTAGCCAAGGGAGGCTTTCCAGAGGAAGTGACTTTGAGCTGAGCTATGAAAGGTGTCAGTGGTAGCTAGGCAACAATAGGAGGGACAAGCATCCCAGGCTGAAGGAACAGCATGTACAAAAGCCCTGTGGTGGATAGGATGGTGGTGCATTGGGGGAGCTGAATAAAGCTAATGGGGCCGTGATCAAGGGGGAGCGTGGTGAGAGAGGAGGCTGGCCAGGCCAGCTGGGACCACAGCAGTTAGAGCTCGGGGACCTTTATTAGGGCTTTGGTGTTTTGCCCTGAGAGTGGTGTGTAACAGCAAAGCGTTTTCCGCAGGGGATGCCAAATCTGATTTGTGATTTGAAAAACTCCCTCTAGTGGCTGTGGGAAGAATGAATGGGAAGAGCAGAAGAGGGTTTTGGTGGGGTGGGGCTGGCAGGGATGGAGAGATGACAGCAAAGAATCTAGTAGTGGACCCCTCATGAGCTCAGACCCGCCTCTTTGCAGCGCTAACATGGAGGCTGCCTCCCTGGTGGACACAGTCCTGGGATCAGTATGTTGGTTCTGTCTGTTCCAGGCTCTGCCTTCAGCTGCTGAGGCCAGAGTTCACTGACTGAAGGTGGCTGACCCAGATCCCAGCCCCTCCCATCTGTGACGGCTCTGCCCACCAGCCCCCCGCGTGTTCAGGACTAAACAGGAGGTAATGAGTCTGCTAGGAAAGTGGGTCAGAGGCCCATTAGCTCGGGCTCAATGCTGCTGAAAGCCCCGG